ATATGATATTAGCAAACTCTCATTAAAATATCAAATATCATTGCTCTGTTTCCCTCCTGCTGCATAATTTCTTCCTTCTAAAAGCTTTTACCACATAACCTAAGCAGTTCATTTTTTATTTATCACTTTTCTCCACTACATTTGCCAAACTATTTAGCTTTACTAGAAGATTCCCATTTGCTCTTTGGAATCAGGACCTTTTTTGTGGCAGACACCAGCCACATCTGGGAAGTAGAAATTGGGAATCAGATAATAAACATCCCCAATGTTTTGTTATATAAGGGATGAGAAGAGTCCTGTCAGATCTGGGGTTCTGGAATAAGCACATATCTCCCTTCTCTAGCTCTTTCTTTTGTGATAGCACAATGCAGTATTTTGTCAATACAGCTCAGAAGCACCGAAGGGGTGAAGTGATCAGCAGTGTTGGATTGTGGGACTTTCCACATGAATCAGGCAGGAGGAGCAGGATGATTAGAAATGGAAAAAGTCCCTTGAAAATCAACCACAGCAGACAAGAAAATACAGAAAGAGGACAATGAAAGTGTTTCTGTGAGCTTATGATGAAATGATACTCTCAAAACATTTAGTAAGATCTCTTTTACACTTTCTTTTATTGGACTACAGCATGCTTTTTCATTGGAAGACTATAAATTCAGGTAGTATACATTTCCAAAGAATTACACAAGGTTTTTAACTGATGTTAAGTTCCTGAGCAACGGAGGGGTGGAGTAGAGGGGCAGCATTGCAGAATCTCTAACTTATAACACCCGAGATGCGATTCCTCTTAAGATATTCACGGGGCTTATTTTTTTAAAGACTGTAATATGATGAATGTTCATTCATATTAGGCCAACTCTTCAGGTCTTAACTTTTACTCAATCAAAATTTTCACTGATTAAAAGGAGAGTTCCACTGAAAAAAGGACTTTGTACAAACTGAGTTAGAACTTCAAGATTTGTACTGTTAGTTCTTTCTCAGAAGCTGATTAGAAAAAAAATCATAGCTGATTTGGGATTTGTGGTGAATTCAAGAGAATTTTGATTTTTTTTCCATCACTACGCTAATTTTACCTCCAGCTTTTCTTCCATCCCATCCACTTGAAAAATGATCTAAAAAGATTTCCTTTTAATATTATTGGATTTTCTACTAAAAAAATGTGGCTTGAGGACTACACAGAATTTATATTTTCATACAGAAGCATTGAGGCCCTTTGATATTTTTGCATCCCCCACTTTCCTTGGAATTTAAATCCACAGTTCTTTGAAAACATGTTGAATAATTTTGGTAATGTTATGACATTAGACTTTCTCTTATGCTACTTTGCAACAGCAGTTCAGAAGTGAAGGAAGGCAAAAAGAATTGAAAGACTAATCAAATACTTTAGGCTGTATCAGTCTATTTTTATTACTACTAGTGATTAATTCAATTGTCAGATTTATAGTGATTTATGAAAAACTAATTTTAAAAGATCTAGAGTTTTTTGTCTTTCGTGCAACATCAGTCGAAAGTGAGTAACTACATTGTTACAGGAGCTTCAGGGGGTAGCCGAGTTAATCTGTTACAGAAAAACAACAACAAATAGTCTGGTAGCACTTCATAGATTAACAAAACATGTAGTTGGCATCATGAGCTTTCGTGGACCGTGCTCCCTTTGTTATGTGCCATCTACATGTTTCATTTGTCTATAAAGTGCTACCAGACCATTTGTTGTTTTTTAGATTGTTACACATACTACTCATCTCCTCCATATAAGGTAATAGTGGCTATTTACTGATGGAAGTATGTCACTTTATCATTCGCAGCACTCATTATAATGCTAAGAATAAAAATGTTAAATATTGCCCCTTGGCACCTAACAGTGTTAAGTAACCCTCTAATAAGTACTCTTTACAGCCGGTCCGAGTTACGAATGGTTGATTTACGATCGTTCACATTTACGACCAAACCTTCCATTAAGTGGACTTAAAGGTGGTCCCCAAGTTACGAACGCGACCCGCGCTTATGAACAGCGTGGTCACAATGTAACTCAATGTGGTCCGACTTACGAACATTTCAAGTTACAGCCAAGTGTTTGGTCTATAACCCGTTTGTAACTTGGTGACTGGCTGTATAAAGCTCCTTTTTCATTATACACTAGGACCAAAAGCCAGGATTTGAATTCCCTTGAATTGGTAGGTTTTTCATATCTAGATATAGACTCAAATCTATAGCATAGATACATTACTTTAAATGCTTTGCTCAGAAGTGCAGGCACATAACAAAGGGGGTACATGTAGGCTGTGTCTAGACTGGCCAGTTTTTCCGGAAAATCAGATGCTTTTCCAGAAAAACTTGCCAGCTGTCTACTCTGGCCGCTTGAATTTCCGCAAAAGCACTGACTTCCTACTGTAAGAAATCATTGCTTTTTGCGGAAATACCATGCTGCTCCCGTTTGGGCAAAAGTCCCTTTTATGCATAACTTTTGCGCAAAAGGGCCAGTTTAGACAGCTCAGATTTGTTTTGCGCAAAAAAGCTCCGATCGCGAAAATGGTGATCGGGGCTTTTTTGCACAAAAGTACATCTAGATTGGCCACAGATGCTTTTCCGCAAAAAGTGCTTTTGTGGAAAAGCATCCGTGCCAATCTAGACGCTCTTTTCCGCAAGTGCTTTTAACTGAAAATTTTTCCTTTAAAAGTATTTGTGGAAAATCATGCCAGTCTAGACGTAGCCATATTGTATATCTTCAGAGATCAGTCATAATAAGCCACAACATTCAATTCCTGATCTAGAGATCTTACACATTTTGCAGTGGTCTGACTTAGGTTTTAGTTGGGCCCATTACAGAGCCATGAGCAAGCTAAAAAGTTGGCATCCAGAACTGAACTTTTCTAACTTTCTGGCATATATAGATCTAGGGTTTTGTTTAGTGCCTATCTGTATCAAAAAACGTCGGCATTTATAAAGCAGATGGCTTTGCCACAGCTTGTTTTACTGCCAGAATGGAAACAGGAGTACCAATCATGCAACAGCAAAAAGAGCTAACTCATCACCTGTTAATCACTATCAAGTGACTATCATTCTCAGAAAATCTCACATCATCTCAAAGCTTTTGTTGTCTTGGACTGGCATGCTAAAACTTGCCGGTCTCTTTTCCCAAAACTTTAGTATTTTTATGTGAGAAAGGCTACACCTCTGAAGGCAGTACATTACTCTACAGTCCTGTTTGTTTCCCACAGACTTTACTGATACCTGTCTCCAAAGGGGGTTAAATGTGGTTCTCATGGAATTACTTAATATAATCCATGTGTTTCTCTGTCCCAAGGACAGTTCAAGTCCACAATTTCATACTCTCACAGGGAAGGAAAAACAAAAGAAAACAGTGTGCCCTGTGGCTATTCTAATTTGGAAATTACTGTCTCTTTGACCCGGGAATTCCATCTGGAGTAGCTGAGTGTCTCTGTGTCAGGACTTCACAGAAAAAGAAAGCAGCAGGTAGCATAGAGGGCAGTGCAGGCTGCTCATAGGTTTTTGGAGGCAGAAACATTTGAGTTCTCACATTAATATGGGGCTTCCTCTGCAGCCTTAGGCAAGTCACTTAAACACTATGTCTCAGTTTCCCCATCTGTGAAATGGGGATACCGCTGAGGGATGTTGTGAGAACTTATTAAGAAACAGGATCAACAATCTCACTGATTTAATAACATTTTTCAAGTGACTTTTTTGATGCTTTGGTCCTACCATTTTAGTGATTGTTATGGGTGAGTAAAATTTTGATACCCTAACTCACACTGAAGCATTCTTCACTTCACACTTGTAGAGCAACCTGTTTAAATCAGAATCTGTTCCTCTCTGTTTTAAAGTTTTACATCTATAAATTCCAAACTTCTGCTGCCTATCCATCCTGAACCTGAGAGAAAACATGTAGGTAGTCTTTCCCCGCCCCTTCCCCCCCGCCAGTATGATGCTATTCTCTTTCTCTAAAAAAATAAAAAAGCCAGTTTTCCTACAAATCATAATGACATAGTCTTAGAGACAAACAAATCATCTCTCTCGCACGTGCTCTCTCTCTCAAAAAAAAGAACAGCTAATTCATTCTCTCTTAACTTCGCCATGCTTTAGTGATCAAACCATAAAACAGCCCTCAACATTCATTTTAACTTCTGCCAGGTCTATGAGGTCTGTATCAAAGAAACTCCCACTCCCCAGTATAATCAGCATTGTCATCCCAGTAAGTTTATATAGTAATGCCAGAGAACCTTCTCCAGAAATATGCAGTTCTTTGGCTCATTTCTTGGTGGATTTGCCATTACTATAATCACAACGGGCACACTGTGTTAAATTAAGAACAGAATCTATAGCTAGAGTCTGCAGAATGAAGCCGTCTGGCTGCAGTACACTAAGCAATGCCTGAAATGTATAGCTCTGTGACTCTCTCAGTGCTAAGAGTGATATTTAAGCACTGCTAAATTTCTGAAACTATTGGCATACACGTTCTTAGCATAAGAACTTAATGAAAAGCGATGTTGATTTATTGAGGTGGAGCTCAGGGGCCAGATCCTGCTTACTTTGGCAAATTCTCCATTGACTTCTGTGGCTCTGGATCTAGCCCCTCAATTTGTATCACTAGACACAGATTTGTATGTGTATTATTATATTTTCATGAGCTTTTATTTTAAACAGTGGTTATTTCCCCTGTCTGTTAATAATAAGAGCTGAGCAAAAATTAATCCCTACACAGCAAGTAATGACCATTTGCCATTAAATGCATTGCTCCCATAACAAAATTGTACATGGGAAAAATAGGAAAACAAATACTTCAGTAAAAAGAGCATTTTCACTGCAGGAAAAGATAACATCAAAGAGGTGTGGGGGACAGAAGTTAGCAGACACTGTACGGAACACACAGAATATTAAATAGAAACATAACTTAGGGAATTTTGGTGACAATAAAAATCTTATCAAAGGAATGAAAAATACACACTAACCATTTCTTCCCATTTGTTTTTATTTATCAACTTTAGGCACCCCTAAGAAAATGCTGCACTTTGAAATTTCCAAGGAAGGCAGTGACCTATCAGTAGTGCAGCATGCTGAAGTGTGGCTCTTCCTAAAAGTCTCCAAGGCCAACCGAAGCAGAACAAAAGTGACAATCCGACTGTACCAGCAGCCGAGACAGCCCAAAGGCAAGTCTGAAGGGGCAGTAGAAATGGAAGACGAAGGGCTGAAGAGTGATAAAAGTGAGACTCTCATCTCTGAAAAGGCAGTGGACACCCGTAAAAGTACCTGGCACATCTTTCCTGTCACCAACAGTGTACAGTATCTGTTGGACAAGGGCAGAAACTCCCTGGATGTGAGGATTGCCTGTGACCAATGCCAAGAGACTGGAGCCAGCCTGGTACTGTTGGGCAAGAAGAAGAAAAAGGATGATGGGGAAGGGAAAAGACTCTCATCTCTGAAAAGGCAGTGGACACCCGTAAAAGTACCTGGCACATCTTTCCTGTCACCAACAGTGTACAGTATCTGTTGGACAAGGGCAGAAACTCCCTGGATGTGAGGATTGCCTGTGACCAATGCCAAGAGACTGGAGCCAGCCTGGTACTGTTGGGCAAGAAGAAGAAAAAGGATGATGGGGAAGGGAAA